CTACCGTGTCCCCCCTCACCCCTCTACAGCAAAGGCTACTTTCTGTGATTCTGTAGTTACCGCAGACAGATGTGTGCACAAACAGCATAGACTATTATTTTGTTTTTTGAAATTTTGCAAGAAGATAAGCGCAACATGTGATACCTTTTATGTGTATTTTTCATTCCACTTTAAACGTGTCAGTACACACACATGGAGTTCATCGGGATGGCTGTATAGTACTGTGTTGTATGGATAACCCACTCTTCAGCTGTTCCCCTCCTGGGGATGATTTGTTTCTGCTTCCTGTCTCTCTCATGCAGGGCTGCAGTGGAATGTGCCTCAAAGCACATGGCCGCTCTACTTGGTATTGCCACATTGCTCCCCAGAGGCACCATAGCTTCACCTTCCCTTGGGACTGTGTGAGAGTTCTCAGTTCCCTCCATCCTTACCAAAACCTCACACCTGGAATCCCAGCACTTAGGGAGGCAGAGGCAGGAGGATGCTTGAGCCCAGGAGTTCAAGACCTGCCCGGGCAACATGACAAGACCCCATTCGCCACAAAATGGGGGGGGAAAAAAAGAGATAAAACTGGATGATAGAGGACCTTTACGTTTTTGCTAGTTGTTGCTGTATTTAAGATTGCTCATTTTAGATTTCAGTCCCTTAAAAACAAGTGAGGATAAACATCTTTTCATGAGTTTGTTAGCCATTTGAGTTTTCTCTTCTGAAATTACCTATTCATATGCTTTTAAAACTGGGCTTTTTCTTACACATTTTTAGGGTTTCTTGATATGTTCTGAATGCTGCCTTGGTTGGCTGTATGAATTCTGAGTACCTTCTTCAGGCCTCTTACTTGTGTTTTCACTTCATTTATGGTAGCTTTTGGCATACTACAGCTTTTAAATTGTAAAGTAGACCAACGTGTGTTTTCTTTTCTAGTTTGTACCTTATGTTTCTTATTTTAAAATATTTTGCCACCCCAGTGCCAAAAAGGTATTCCTTCTGTATTTTGTGCAGAAAGACTTACAATTTTATGAACTCTATTTGAGTTCTTAATCCATTGCAAGTTTATGTTTGGTGTCAGGAAGGGGCCCTGTTCTGTCTCTTCCTCGTGTATAGCCCATGTGCTCCTTCCCTCCCAGTCTACCCATGTCTGCTGAATACCAGGTGCCCTTACGCTGAGGATCCTATTTCTAAGCTCTTGTTCTCTTGGTCTATTTAAGTAACCCTAGATAAAGACCACACTGTTTTAGGTAGCCCAACTTTATAGTATGTCTTGAAATCTGATAGGACTTATGCTTCTTTAAAATTGCCTTGCCTTTTCTGGATTTTTTATTTCTTTGTCTTTTAATTGTGATGATAACACAAACTGTAACTGTCACAAAGCTGTGTAAATCACTATAAAGCAAATATATCCATAATCCACTATGCAGGTAGAGACCATGCCTCGCCAGCCCCGCGGCCCATGGTGCCCCCCTTCCTTCCCACCTCTCTCCTGTGACCCCTTTCCCCTTCTTTCTCCCTCCCTTCTGTGACCCCTCCTAGCACACACCATCATCATCTTTGCGCTTTGCTGTCTCATTTTACTGCTTAGTGTGTGGTTTAGGTGAACTCATTCACAGAAGTGGAATCATGTTTTCAGTCTTTGGGTCTGGTTTCTTTCTCCCAACATGGTGTTTTTAAAAAGCAAACCTTAAATATTTGGCATAAATTTGAGGACTGGCATTTACGTTCCAACAAAACACCCTGTTAAGATTTTATTTTGAATGATATTTAATTTACATATTAATTTGATGAAAATTGGTATCTTAGCAGTTTTGCATCTTCCTATTCATGGAACTGGTATCTTTATTATCACTAGGGTTGGTTTTGAAAAAATATCCCTTAGTATCTTTTTCATTTTTTTCTGTCAAGGCCATATATATATATATATATAAAATTCCCAAGTATCTTATAGTTTTTCTTGCTGTTATTTGCTAACAGTTTATTTTTTCTTTCCAAACAGTCTGTATTTTATCCCTGGTTGCTTTTCTTTTAAGGATTTCTTTCTTTTGTTTCACCACAGTGAATCTAGATGTAAATTTCATTTTAACATTCTTTTAGGGACTCTTGCACTTTCATGAGGATTTATATTCTTTATTTATTCTAGAAAACTCTCAGCTGTTTATCTCTTTAAATATAATATCCATATTCCCTCTGTTGGCTTCTTCTGGAACCCCTATGCTAACAGCCCCATGAGATGCACATAGTCTGTCTGTGCAGAGGCCTTGGCCTTCCCTACCCACATGGGCCCTCCTTGATTCATACCCCTATGCTAACAGCCCCATGAGATGCACATAGTCTGTCTGTGCAGAGGCTCTTGGCTTCCTACCCACATGGGCCCTCCTTGATTCATGCCCTCATATTTCCTTCTCTCTGTTGGAGGAGAGAAAGGGTACATGGAGCAGAGGCCTTGGCCTTCCCTACCCACATGGGCCCTCCTTGATTCATGCCCTGCAGAGCTTTCCCTTCTCTCTGTTGAGGAGAGAAAGGGTACATGGAGCATGAACTGGGGTGCCTCTTACCCAGACTTAAGTAACCCTCCTTCCACAGGGCCTAGACCTTCTAGTCCAGGGGTATCTAGTCTTTTGACTCCTCTGTGACACATTGGAAGAAGAATTGTCTTGGGCCACACATAATATACACTAACACTGATGATAGCTGATGAGCTTTAAAAAAAAATGCAAGAAAATCTCATAACTCTTTTTGGTGTTTTTGTTTGTTTGTTTTTGTTTTTTGAGACAGAGTCTCGCTGTGTCACCCAGGCTGGAGTGCAGTGGCACAGTCTCGACTCACTGTAACCTCCACCACCCAGGTTCAAGCGATTCTTGTGCTTCAACCTCCTGAGTAGCTGGGACCACAGGTGTGCACCACCATGCCTGGCTAATTTTTGTATTTTTAGTAGAGATGGGGTTTCACCATGTTGGTCAGGCTGGTCTCAAACTCCTGACCTCTTGTGATCCACCCACCTTGGCCTCCCAAAGTGCAGGGATGACAGGTGTGAGCCACTGCTCCTGACCTTGTAATGTTTTAAGAAAGTTTACAAATTTGTGTTGGACCACATTGAAAGCTGTCCTAGGCCACATGTGGCCCATGGGCCTCAGGTTGAACAAGCTTGCTCCAGTCCCTGTGCTTGTCTGAGTCCCACAGGACTCTCTGCAGGCATTTGGACTTAGCTGCTTATATGCAGAGTGGTTTATAATCACTTGATAAGCTTTCTATTTTGTTAGCATGGTTCAGGATTAGTTTCTAGTTTCACAGACCTTGGAGTTTGTTTCTGTCTTCATTTTCTTTGTTGTCTTGTACTATCTTTGAGAGAAGGGGCACAGAAATTATATGAAACCAGAAGTTGTCCACCATTTACTCTTCAGCCCTCTACAGTTTGTCTTTGGTACCAAAACTGTTCTTGTAAACACCTTGTTTATCAAACACCTCCATTTGCGACATCCAGTGGCTAGTTCTGTCTTACTTAGCAGCTGCATTCGATGTAGCTGACCATCGCTGTCTTAAAACACTTCTAAGCTTGAACTCCTCTATTTCCTTTCTCTTCACTGGCAGCCCAGTCTCAGATTTCCTTACTGGCGTTTCCTACTCTGTCCGTCCGTAGAATATTAGTGCACTCCTGGGTTCAGTCCTTAGTCCTGTTCTCTCTTCTACTGTATCTCCCCCACCCCCGTATTTTCTCTTCTAGTCCCATTACCCTAAATGTCACATCATATCCAGTGACTCCGAAATCCTTATCTCCACCTTTTCCTTTAGTTCTAGAATTACATAGCCACCTGCCCACTCAGTGGCCCCCCCAAGATACCTGATAGACACTCCCAAGCTTGGGCTGCACAGCATCTGCTGCTTTCTCTGCCTGAAGTGTTCTTTCCCCAGTTTGTCAAGTCATGGGCACCCCATCATCCTTAAGATCTTCACTCAAATATCACTTTCTCCGAGGGCACCCCTGATGTCCCCTGCCGCCCCCAGAGTAGGTTCATGCCCCAAGTCACTTTATTTCTTTCCCAGTACTTGCCGGAAATAGTTTCACATGTTGACTTGATTACTGCCTGTTCTCCACATTGACTGCTATAAGCCCTGTGAGAGTGGGGCCTTGCTTATCTTGTTCTCTGCTGTATTCTGAGTTCCCAGAACAGTGCCTGATGTATAACACAATCTCAAAGAATTCTTTCCAGTTCATCAATTTAAATTTTATTATTAAAGCATTGAAGTATACTTATATTAGAAAGTTGTCAAATATGTTCTAATTTGATCTTCTAATCCTAAGAATGAAATTCACATCAAGATTTTTTTTTTAAAACAAAGGAATAGCCATAGTCATTTTTAGCTAGAAAATCATAGGGAGCCTTGAGACTTCTATAACCTTACATTATAAATGACCTTCAAGATGAAGACAGGGTCGGTTTATAAATGGAATTGTTCATTGCTAACTAACGTTGGTGAGGATTTTAAATATCTAGAAAAATCAGTACTTGAAAAACTGATCAAAACACTATGTAAATAAAAACCAAGATTTTTAGATTGTGTTTATTCTCTGATAAATTGATCGTGTACCTGGGTCAGCTGAGACATGGCAGTTGTTTTCTGCTGGTGTCTCTGCGATGGCCATCTGCCAACAAAGGTAACCACAGAGTCAGTACAGTGTGAAAGTGTTTCAATAATCAGATCTCTTACAGCTTTTTAAAAAATGAAGATGGTGTCTTGACAATCTTTTACCTGAACTTTGTGTATTAAATGATTAGAATTTTGCTAGCTCTTCTAATTCAATAAAAAACAATTTTGTTTTACTGAGTAAATTCAGTTTTGTGTTGATTTGTACTGCTTAGTGTTCTGTGGTAGAGGATTTTGCTTATTGCCTAACACTGCTATGACTAAGAAGAACACTATGTGCAGTGTTTGGAGGCTGCTGATTTTTGTGTCATGTACATTTTTTTAAATGATACTACATTTAATCACTTTGGACATTTTTCTTTTAGATGTCCGGTCTGTGCTACAACAGCAAAATGTTCCAGGTGCATCAGGTGCTCTGCATCCCCAGCTGGGTGGCAAAATTCTTTTCTTGGACACTTGAACCCATCTTCTCTTCTTCAGAACCCGCCAGCGAAGCCAGAATTGGGATGGGAGCCACGCTAGACATCCAGAGGCAGCAGAGGATGGAGCTGCTGGACCGGCAGCTGATGTTCTCTCAGTTTGCACAAGGCAGGCGACAGAGACAGCAGCAGGTAAAAGTGATAATAGTCACTAAAAATTTAGAAATTCTCAGTGGCCCCAGCAAATCTTTCCTCTGTGATTGCATGTGAGATAGAGACTACATTTTATTCCAGTGCCTTGCAAGCGGATTTTGACATTTCCAAAGAGAATGTAGGTCTCCGTTAGTGGCGATTCTTAGTTTTTTAAGAAGGTAAAAAATAAATTGTAGCTGAAAGATTGGTCAAACTGGACATTCTTTTTCCACCTATATTAGATAAGCATGACTTCTTAGAGAAACACCAACCTAGTTAACAAGATGTGCTATTTATCTGTTTTTATAATCTTGTAAAAGCCACAGTGTCTTCCTGTTAAAATGCTAATCATATGCCATGGAGTGAAGAACAAATGTAAAACTTCTTGATTTTCCTTAATTGAAATGAAGAGAATATGAAGGTAAGAAGATTTTCAATGGAACAACCGAGGAGTAGATTTAAAAAATGCTGTGTTTTCTCAACCTTGCTATCAATAATCAGAAACTATTGCACATTTCTCTACAAATACTGCATCCAAACAATCTGATAACCACACTTGTCTTCCATGGGCAGCGAGGGAAGGAGGGTTAGTGCACATCAGGCTAAAACCTCAGGCCTGATCTTTCTAGGACACTTCTGTGAGCCAGCCTACAGGGCTCCCCATTTTTCGCCTCTACCTTCTTTACCCCTGGGGTAGTTGTAAACCATACAATTACCTCTGCCATCTCTCTGTGTCCCACTAGCATTGGATGCAAGAAGTAGGTCTGCAGATCTCACGATGGTTTGGAGAAGTGAAGTCAGGTTTGAGGTCCTTAGAGTCTCATTGGAGATGCAGGTCCCAGAGTTTATATCGGGATGGGAGGAAGGGGGCACCTTATGAGGTGCAGAGTCTACAAAAGAAAGAGAGAAGCAAAAGTTGTTTCTTAAAGATGTGCTTGAATTTGAGTGACTCTGGAACATGCCATAAAGATGCTCATGATGTATTTAAAGCTGGAGGATGGACATCTCTGTCTTAAGAGATGTGGAAGCTACATATATGTATAGGTGATGGAGTCACCTCTGTAGGGGTGAGAGCTGAGAGCTGAAAGCAAAGAACTAATAAGTTCTGTAAGAGAAGAACTACATCCAAGGTGAACACAGGCTACAGATGAAGCCTTGTATTTAGCAGGAGGTAAATCCTACAAGGAAACAGAGAAGAGCGAAAGGTATGAGAACTCAGAATGATCAAGTTCAGAAAAACTGAGTAGTGATTGAATATAAAGGTAGAGGCACAGAGCTTATGAGGGGATGTTCTGATGTTTCTGGCCTAGATAATCTTAAAGATAGAGGACTGATAGTTCCATTTCACCAATATCAAAAGAGCAGATTTGGGGGAAATATGTTGTCTGAGATACCTTGGGAGTCCTGGGAGGAGATTCTCCACTGGAGAGCTTTGAATTTGTACTCATAAGCAAACCAGAGAAGCTGCATTTCTCAGATTGGCCGCCTCAGGAAGATTTTTATACAAGGAGTTTAAGAGAGAACACTGTCAGCATACAGTCACATCGCAGGGTTAAGGCTTCAGTGTGTGAATTTGGGGCAGGGGCAAGGGGTGGGGGACAATGTGTTCCGTAACACTGCAGAGTGGAAAGGGCCCAGCATAGTCTCGGCGCTGCGTGACTGTTCTGCTTGCGGACGGTGGTTATCCGGTGCATGCAGTCTCTGTGGGTGCCGGGTTGGATGCTCCATAGTGGCAGGAGATAGGTCGGTCTGGGTGAGGGGACCGCACATTCCTCTGTGCCGCCACCGTGGCCATCCATTCGTGTGCCAGCACTGGGTTATCTGGTGACGGAGCCACGGCCATTCTGCCCACCTTCCACTTGGTGCCTTTTCGGTGGTGGATGCCCGTGGTGGGCACTACCTGCAAAACACTTGATGCTCCTTTTCCTCTAGCTGGGTCCTCCTTGTGCCCTTCCTTCCAGTCCCCTGACCGGCCAACCAGGTGATCTGCCATGCCCAGCAGATCCACACGTGTGATTGCCTCAGGCCACTTCTCTTTCCACTCAGAGTTGATGACCAAATGTGCTGCCCGGGCTCTGCCTATAGGGGTTCCCCTGATCGTTGTCTTTCAAGATCGAGCCATCATGCAGCCGTTTCCTTCAGCTGCCACTCATGTCCTGAGCCAGCCTATCCATTTGGCTGTTTTCCCCTCTGTCACTTGGTCATGAGGGGCCCAACCGCTGTGGCAGTCGGTGTTAGCTGGGAAGAGGCTGTGGTGCAGCAGAGGTGGCTGCCAGGGTGGTCTGGCATGCCTGCTTCTGCAGCTCACCCATGCCCTGCAGCCCCACTCATGCCGAGCCCAGATGCCCATGTCCATCTGGTGATGGGTTTCTGTCGGCCCGCCTGGCTTGGTAACGTGGTGGGTCTCCACTGCTGACCACATGCTCACTTTACGGCCTACAGACAGGCACTTCATGGTGCAGTAGTAGTTTATACAAGTGGGATTCTTGGCTGCGTGCTCACGCCCTCGCTCCAGGACCCTATGGACCCACATTATGGTTCTCCTTTCCTGCCTTGCCGTAAACTCCGCACGGTGTCTTTCCCCACCCTAGATACTTGGAACATCATGGGATCTGCCAGCTTGCACCCAGGCCTCAGGGAATGAGACGGACCCAAATCCCTGCCCTACTGGAGCGTGCATTCCCACCAGGCGCCTGTGAAGTGGCACAGGCCTTTATGGCTGTCCGTACTGCTGTCAGACTCCTCCACTTTCATAGGATGGTCTCACCAACAGGTTTGAAGTCCAGAGCAGGACACCAGCCCCTGGGCCTTTGCCGGGCTTTTACATTGAGTGGTCTGCTGGGCAGCACAGACCAGACTTGATTTTTTGCTAAGCTTACTTCTAGGGTCTGCACATGGGTACACCCAAAACTCAGCGCTTAGCCTCCTGCTGAACTTCTACACTCAGCTGTGTCTCAGTTTTATTCACATAAGTATGATAAATCACCACGTAGAGAACTCTTGTTAAACCACCACTGGAAATTATCTGCCATGTTTGTGTGCATGCACGAGTACTGTACAGGGTGCAGTTGTATCGAAATGTAATACCAGGGGAAAAGTTTATTTTGATTTTCATTTACTTTCCAACAAATAAGTACTTAGTGCTTATTATATGCTAGGCCTAGGGCTGGACATTGAGGACACAGGTATAAGAAAGATAGCCCCCAGTCCTTTTCTTATGGAGCTTAGGTCCTGTCTCTCTTGCAGAATTAGCATGTTTCACTCTTTATCAGTAAAAAGACCACCACCTTTTATTGTGCCAGTCCTATGGTAAGTACTCAGTATATGTTATCTCGTGTATGCCCAGTGTGCACCTAGAGAGATGCAGGTGTTCCCTCATTTCCCCGGAGGCTCAGGGGAGTGCTTGCTTGTCCAGGGGCAGCTGCTGATGGGGATCTGGGAGTGAGATCCAGCTGTGTCTGACTCTGAGATCTCTGTTTCTGATCCCTAACTCATATACCTCCCAATATGAGAGCTCCTTGGTGATTTTTTTTTCCCCCTTTTCACTTTGGCTGTCAGGAAACTCAGTGCCAGGCTTCAGGTTTAATTAGGGTTAAGTTAGAACTTTTGCTTCCATCTTCTTCTTTATGTTTCAAATATATGTTTTTGTTGTTTGCTCCTGTATCTTTTATTGTAGGCAATCTCATACTGTGTATTTCATTTAAAATGCAGCTGTTATTTATTTAAAAACTGTTGATTTTTAGATGCTTTTCATAGAATCTGAGTTTATTTAGTCAGAATGTCATTTTTTTCAGTTACTAACTACCGTATGTTACACATGATCTGTCTGCAGGTTTTCATTTCAGGTATTCCAAAATAACACTCAAGTCTTGATTCAGTGTTGTATTTCTTTAGATTTCTCTTGCCTGCTTATGCCAGAGTTCATCCTGCCATCTGGCAGGTGCTCGCTGCCACCCCCTGCCACGTGCTCCTCACGTGACTCTGGGGGCACAGACTGCTTGGGAAGCTCTCTGACCAATACTGGTGGCTTCTCTGTGGGCACAAAAGAAATGAAGAACATGTCCTTTCCCTCCATGAGTTTGTGGCCAACTTCAGGGAGCTGAGGCAGTTGTACTTGAAATAGATGAACATCCAAAGACAAGGAAATATTTACTGAAGCATCCATGCAGTGAAAAGCTGAGGAGAGAGCCACTGGTGTGGACTGATGCTGCCAAAAAAGATTTCAGGAAGTAGAAGGACGGGTGGAATTTGGATGGGTGGAGAGGGTAAGGCACATCATTCCAGAGGAGAGGACCAGCAAGAGTGAGGCATGGAGGTGCTAATGAGACCCTAAAAAGGAGAGGCCTCCAGGAGCCCTGTGACTGACATGTGGGCAGATATGTAGTGAGAAATGGGGAATGATCTAGTAACTCAATGGAGGGAGGTAGTTTAAACCTGACAGTAGATTTCGGCTTGGACATTGGTTGTGAAAAATGGTTTATTCAGTAACAAAGATAGGACAGTTATCTCAGAAAAATGTCATTTTATTGCAGTGTGTAAGATGGACGGGGGAAAGGAGAAACCCCAGAGGAGGAGACAAATAGAAGGCGGTTTCTAAAGCCCAGCTCTCAGAGGAGTGCCTTGGCTGGGCTGATGCTGAACTTTGGATTGAGCTCTTCTTCCCCTGTTCACTCCCTAAATAGGTTGTTTCCCAAGACTCAGTTGTCTGCCTACTGAGCTTTTCACGCTAGACACCTGAGGGGACCCACTCAGCCTCTGTCCTCACCACTTTGTTGAGCTCATGGCTCCTGTGAGTCCCTCAGGATCCAGAGAGTGGACCTCCCTCTCTCCTGGGGCCCCAGACCGAAATATCCTACTGCCTGTAAGTCTTCTCCACTTCAGTGTCCCATCAGCTCTTGACAGGTACTGTTTATTTTTGTTTTGTTTTGTTTTGAGACAGAGTCTTGCTCTGTTGCCCAGGCCGGAGTGCAGTGGCGCCATCTTGACTCACTGCAACCTCT